TCCCAACAAAGGGTCACTGTAGAATTTAGACGTTAGGAGCCCAGCACAGTAGCTGGCACATACAAAGTAATCAGCTTGATGCTACTACTGGCAATGGGCAAGGAGACACCTGACTGGTGGTGTTGCTCTTATATCAGTCAGGGGTGAAGCAGACATACAGTACTTAGTTTATCCTAGTTTGATACCTGTGTCAGTGGCCAGAGCTATTTCATGCCAGGGCACATTTTTTTTTTAAAGCTACATGCTAATGTTATTATTTCTCCCCCATTAAACCTAAAATTAGAATGCTCAACTGTGTCTCTGCCTCACTTTAACTAGATGCCAAAGGATACAACGAAAATTGACTTTTAAAAAAAATGGTGAACCACTACTTTTCCCTTACAAAAAAGAAGGTAGAGAGGCTAAAGGCACGAGAGACAAAATTTCCTTCTCATTAACACTATTGCAGATGGAATGTCAGCCTGCAGATTGAAGGGTCCCAGGTTCGATTCCAGTTTGGGCACATGCCCAGGTTGCAGGCTCAACCCCCAGTAGGAGGTGTGCAGGGGACAGCCAATCAATGATTCTCTCTCATCACTGATGTTTCTATCTCTCTCTCCCTCTCCCTTCCTCTCTGAAATCAATAAGAAAAAAAAAAAAATCCAGGGAACCAGGGTGAATTACAGAGAGGAAAAACAACAAAATAAAAGAGGAGACTGAAACCTAATTCTAAAGCCATTAAGGTGCACATAACCTGAAAACTTTTCTGTTTTTTAATACAACTTGACATCTCATCCTTTATATCATAATTATCCTACATAATAGAGAGCTACTATGCTAATTAGACCAAACAGCAAAACAATTGTTCATATGAAGCCAGGGCTGCGAGGGCCAAGCCGCTTGCACGAATTTTGTGCATCCGACCTCTAGTAGTTCCTCTATAAACACAAATAAATATAAAAAGGCAGATATAATTATTCTGTTAATTTTGCCAGGCTCCTTCTATAAATGAATCACTTCCAAGTCACACAGTCCAACTTTTATTTTTTCAATGACAGATTTTATTTTTCAAAGTTAGCAAAGGGTAGATGCTTAAAAATAGATAAAAATTTTATAATTCTATTGTATTTATTTGTACCATACCAACCAATATTCAGAATATTCCTTCAAAAAATATTCACTATATA